GAACTAGACAAGGATGCCCTCTATCACCACTCTTATTTAACATAGTACTGGAGGTCCTGGCCAGAGCAATCAGGCAAGAAAAAGGAATAAAAGGAATCCAAATAGGGAAGGAAGAAGTGAAACTCTTGCTGTTTGCAGACGACATGATCTTATATATAGAAAACCCCAAAGAATCCATTGGAAAACTGTTAGAAGTAATCAACAACTACAGCAAAGTTGAAGGGTATAAAATCAGAAGTGCTCAAATTTGATCAACTTTGAATTAAGAGGACGTTTTACTGGGCAACCGGTAAAGCCTCACTTTCCCTAATCAAGGGCAGGATTGCTCAGCCCTGGCTCTTTAAGCCAGCCTCAGACTCCCGTAAACCACGGACCTGCCAGCCATAAAGGCAAATTGTCATCACCAGCTAATGTGCTAGGCCACTTGCTTGTCTCCAACCTGTTTGCACTCTAACCGCCTCCCTGCCCATCAGCTGGCAAATGCACAAAGTTTTTCTCATTGCTTCTTAAGAAGTTTGTGTGATTCCCTCCACATCTGCATTTTGTGCATCCTTATGTCATGGTGTGTGTTATATCTATGTGCCTTTTACCTCCACTAGAGGCCTAGAGAAACAGGTAGTTTATTAACCCAGTAGTTACGAGGGAGAGACACAAGATAGAAGAATCCTACCCGGAATCTCAACTCTAACTAAAAAATAGGGAAATTGAGGGAATTGTTCCAGTGATCTTTAGGGAATGCAGTATTTTTTATATCATATCCGAAGAAAGTACAGCTCTGTGTATTCCAAATGTAAATGTCTTTTATTTATAGTTGAGGAATACTTTACTATGTTATAGCTTCTCAGAAAGTGTGCAGAATCCTAGATAGATTGGAGGATATCATTGTAAAAGAAAAGCAGGAAGTATAAGAATCTGATATGGTTGAAGAGAAACTAAACCTAAAGTAAAAGAGAAGAGAGGAAGGTTATGTGGGGGAAGAGAAGAAAACAGGGCCTTTGTGGGCATTTCAGAAATGTGTCCTTGATTGAAAAAAAATAGTACCCTTTGCTCCTGGAATATTTACAAGGCAGTATAAAGCCATGCCTTACTCAAAAGATACAGAAAACATACAGAAAATTCACCCATCTGAGAGTGGGAATTTTCAAACCACCTAGACAAGGAAAGGACATAGATGATGTCTGTGTTCCTTCTGCATGTCACATAATTAGTAGTGATATAGGACTTTATCCAGATGTCTTCTAAAATTTTTATTCAACTAAAAATACACTATTTTGGTAAGTTCTTTCCTACTGATAAGTTCCTCTCCTAGAGTACAGAGGAAGAAAATAGAGGAACTACTGTTCTGACCTTAATTCTAATTCACAATGAGGAATTGGTTGAGAGAGTGGAAGTGGAAGAGTCCAAGTAGGTGGGGGGAAGAGAGCAACACGGTCAACTTTTACTGCAAGTAAATAGTTGCCGCTCCTCCCTCAGGGAGGATTAGACTTCCTTGCCCCCTTGACATGCGCTGAGTGACTTGCATGTGACTTGCGTTGGCAGGAAAACTGTGAGCAAACGTGACCTACATACATTACTTCTGGACAAATACTTTTAGTACATAGTCATCTTGCTCTTTTTTTTTCCATCTCCCATAAAGTCAGCAATACCTTAGAAAGAGGCTTTTTTTATCAGCTTCAAGCCAGGATAGACATGTAGCATATGTTTTAAAAAGCCAATTCAGCTGTTGTAGAGCAGAGGTTCTAAGTTGGGGGTTATTTTGTCCCTCACCCCCAGCCCCACTCAGGAGATGTTTAGCAATGTCTGGAGACATTTTTAATTGTCACAACTAGGGGCATGCAACTGGCATCTGGTGGGTAGAGGTCAGAGAGGGTGCTAGATACCCCACAATGCACAGGACAGGCCCTCGCAACAAAGAATTATCTGGCCAAAAATGGTACTGATGCTGAGATTGAGAAACTCTGTTTTAAGCTTCTGGAGTTCTTACTACAGCATAACCTAACCTATCCTAACCAATACAGCAACTACCACATTTTATAAACGCCAGTGTGGAAGAAGTTGGACATAAGCAGTTAGGTACGTTAGTTAGTAAGAAAATGGGTTTGGAAGAAATCCAGGGGGAAAAAATGCACATATTGTACTATGGCATAAGATTTTGAGGTAGGACTGAAAAGGTTCAGAAGCTTCCAGTTCCACAACTATTACTCTGCAATTGCAAATATTTCAGATAAACAAAAACCAGACAGAAAGGTCTAAAACCAATATGGCTGCACATTGAATGCTCCAGTGAACTCAAATATTAAAATAAATGAGGTTTGTAGTCAAAGATAAATGTCTTTTACGCTCCTCTAAAAATAGCGTTAAAAAAACTAAGGTCCAAAATTAACATAATTTAGACCCGCAAAAGTGCTAAGACCCCAAAAGAGTTTTTTTGCTTATTTTAGTTGTATTAGCAGCAAGACCAAGCAAGAAAATGATCTCTTGTTTGAAAAAGCAGAGCAGTCCCTCAAGGGTTGTCTCATCCCTTTGTCACTGGCCACCAGCCTCAGCTGGACTCTCTGCTGCCTGTTCTTCCACGACAGCTGATTCTCCAACAGCTTTTATTGAGGCAGTTGATCTTTTTAGCTCTGACTCGTAAAGCTTTGCATTTACTTGCAGTATCAGAAGCAGTACTGCTCACCTTTGTGGCTTGGAATCATCCCACCTTCAAAATCTTGGAAATGATAGATTTTGGATAGACCTTCTTAATAGTCAGAGCTACACAAGGATGGAATGCTCTATTTCAGGAGCAGTAGTTCCCAGTCTTTAAATATTTTCAAGCAAAGGCTAGAGAGTCCCCTGGTTGTCTGTTCTCTTCCAACCCTGATTGCCTATAATTCTCAATTTGAAACTCTGGATTGAAATTAAGAACAGGTTTTTCATCATGTGTCTCTTAACTCCCAGCATATTTTAGCCATGTCTGAAAGCAATATATATTAGGAAATAAAGATGCAAATCTTCCTGTGGCCATAAAAACCCCCTTGAACCTTCTCCTTCCTCTGAGAATAGAAGGGATAAGGACAGGGTCCTGGTTGGAGTCTGACTTTATTAATTGTCTAGCCCATGAGAATTTCCTCATCACAGAGTAAGACTCTCTTGTCCACCTATCCACAGCTGTTTGTTTCATTACCTACTTTCACATTTGAGTTACCAAATCCACATTCTAAAATACCTGCCTGTTTATTGTAGGCCCCCAAGATTGTAAAAGAATTACTGAGATGTGGTCATCAAGCAGTGGTAGCGTGACAGAGACCTGTCTGTGCACTTACTCCTCACCAGCTTATTGAGTGGTAGAAGATTTAGTAAAGGTGGAAATAATTAGTGAATTTCTGTTCTCTCTCACTCTAGTTCAGCTGAGTGATAAAAATCATGCCTAATGTTTTCTCTTTTAGTGATAGTAATGAAGATGAGGTATCCAGCATTTGGGGCACATTCTTGAATTACATTCTTTATTAATCTCAATTATTTATAAAGGATAGCTCAGTCAAAAGTTCTGAAATCAAAACAGTGGTATGGCTTGATAGTCAAGTGAAGCAAAGTTTAAGAGTTTATAATATAATGTGACATTTAAAGATTAAAATATGTTTTATGAATTCCTAATTTTCATTTGTTGCATTAAATCTTTCTTACTTTTCTGTCTTCAAATTCTTGGTCTTCAAAATATCTACCTGCCCCCTAAAAAAGAATTGCCAAGTCACAAAATAATACAAATCGCAAATAAACATTCTCAAAAATTAAATAGTACTAGTAATTGAAGAAATACAAATTAAAATACCAAGCTACCATTTTCCCCTATTAAAAGTTTTTTTGCTGTTTTCTTATTATGAAAGTATGACATATCTTTATTGTAGAAAATAAAAAAATACAAGTAAGAGAAAATAAGAAATCACAATGGTAAAAAAATTAACATCTCATTATGTAGATGTCAGTCCTTTTTCTTCTATGTCTAAAATTTATTTGTCTCCTATTGATGTACACTTGAATTTTTTGTTACAAGTAATGCTGTAATAAACATCGTGTGTATTAATCTTTTCTTTGCATCTCTGATTATTTTGTTAGGACTAGTTCTTACAACTGTCATTGCTTAGTGAAAGCATACTACATTTTTAAGGCTTTTGATTATCTTTTGCCAAATCGGTCACCAGAAGGTTGTATCAGATGTAGGAGAGTAATTGGTTTATGCATTCTTTAATCCATATTATTCATGTTCATTTCTTATCGTCACCATTTTTATAACCCCAAAATGATATCTTATTTTAATTTATATTTCTTTGATTAATAATCAGAGCATATTTTACATATCTTAACAAAATAATACAAATTTTTACATACTTCATTGTCACATTATTTGTAAGAGAAAAATGCATACACCTAAATGTTCAACAAAATGAAACCAGTTAAATAAAAACTGTGATACTTCTAAACAATAAACTGTGCAGCTATACCATAAGCAAAGTATTTTAACTGACATAGGAAAAATATTTATTGTATATTAGGTAAGACAATTAGAATGGTGAATTTTTGTATGTAATTTTTTCTCTACTGTACTCTGTAAACATATAAGAAAAAAACCTGAAAAAATATGGCAAGGTGGAATTGCTTCTGCATAGTGATAGGTGATTTTTAATATTTCATAATTTTAATACTTCCCACATTTTGTATAATTAACATTTGTATCAAATTTGTGAATAAAACACATCTTTGTTAAGTACACTGCATTAATGATGCAAGAGGGGAGAGGAAACTGTCCACCTGCAATTCTCATAGCATGTATTCTAAAGATAACATTAAACATTTGATACTGAAACAGGAAACAGGAACAGATAACATAACTAAGATTCTGGTAAGCAGTTAAACAACCAGTTGTCAAAATGTTAAAAGTTCCACTTGCTCGAGAAGCTGACAATTGCTGGAATCCTCTGAAAATGTAATGTTATGTACGTATGATTTTTTCCCCTTTTTAGGTTGCTGCTGTTGATCTTCTGGTTCCTGGAGTTGGAGAGCTCTTTGGAGGTAGCCTCAGAGAGGAACGCTACCATTTCTTAGAGCAGCGACTGGCCAGGTATTGATCAGACCTCAAGGAAACAAAATTCAGAAATTGGGGTTGGGGCACTCAAAGGCAGTCATGGCAAAGTAACAGAGAACAGCGCATGAGCCTCAGCACCTGGCAGACCTGGATCTCAGATTCTGTGTGACCTTGAGCAGGTTGTTATTGACCTCTCTGAGCTTCCCTTTCTTAAAGACTGAAACTGTTATCTGAAACAAGATCGCAGTGATACTTGCCTGCTGTTTGTATGTATCTCTCCCTATGGAAGTGGCTTTTTAAAAAGTTAATGATAGAAGGAGGAGGGAGATTTCCCCCTTAAAGCTTGTCCTTCATTTTTCTCTTCTCTGTGTATTTTTTTATTTACTCTAAATTATGATGGTGGACTCCTACAGGGACATAAAGACTGAACCAAGGAAAGACTAAAGATGGAGAAAGAAAGATAATAAAAATATCTGCAAGTTAGCATTTAGAATAAGCAGTTTTCCCTTCCTCAGGTTTTCTACTATGTAAGGGTCTTTATTTAGCTGTTTGAATAACTTATTTTAGCTTGCTGTTTGAGACCTGGGAAATGAATCTATAAACACATAGGAAATGTTTTGGAGATGAGAAGTAGGGAATTGTGTTTCTAATTGAACTACCACTCCTGTATGTACATGGTCTGCCAACAAACCACAATGACTTCCTAAACTAACCAAGGTTATAAACCCCTATTTTCCATGGTTTCCACTTTTGCTGTGCCAGACTTTAAAAAAAAAAACGACTTTCCCATGTCGAAGGTTTAATCCTTCTCTCCAGATGATACTGGGTTTCACAGTAACCTGGAAAAGCCATAATTGTTTGACAATATCCTGTTAAATTAGCCATGTGTAACAAGGCCTCCTTTTCCTAATGGAGAAAATCTTAAAAAGTTGATGCTTTTCCAAGATCCCAACCTATAAATCTGTTGGGTAACTTGGTTTTGTAATCCCAATCATTTGAACTGCTGTTTGGTTAGGGTTCAGAAGAAAGAGGATGAATGTGTTCTGGGAAGATGTATTTTTATCAGACTACTAGCTCCTTACTATTACTATGGTATTAGAAAGTCCTTGGAAAACTGTGGAAGTGAAGTGAAGGTCAAACTCTTTAGATGGAAAGAATTTGAAGATTCTCTGGGGTTTTTTTTAAAGCACAATAAAAATCACACATGGCAAGAAACCTCATCTGTTGAAAGATTAATTGGTCTGTTTTCTTTGCTTGCTTCCTTCCTTCAGGAAACCTTTACTCATAACATTAAATGTTTACCTAATATCTGATAAAATCCAAATTTATCTTTCCTAATAAAATGGATATGTGGGTTTCCCTATCTCAGGGTTCTGTCTGTGACTTCTGTCCATGTTTTCTGTATTTTTGTATATTTGAATTTTTCATAATCCTCATCACTTTAGATCCACTCTGGTCCCAAACACCTTTTTAAAGGGCTGAAATTAATTTTAATGAATACTAAGAGCTTAACATTTTATTAACATTTCTCAAATTGGCGAAAACCAACTTGCAACCATATTATGAAGGCAGCCTCAGAATCTATATTATTGTTTTAATGTTATAGGATGAAAGGCATGTCTGTCTGTCCCTTGTGTGTGCCTCCCAACAACCTTACATAGTAGTGATAGTGCTTTTCTTGTGTCACAGGACAGAAGCTCATCTCAAATGCACTGTTTCTTTTGTGCTCTGGACCGTACTTCCTTTCTATGGCGTTTATTGTCTATACCCCCTGTTGGATAATACCTTGGACTGTTAGTTTACTTACCTTTCTTACCATGTAATAAAGATTCAGCTGCTTAACTGCATTGCATGTTATTTGAGAGCACAGGTTTTGGTGTAGACTATTTTATAAAGAGCGCTTTGCATACAGCCCAGAAGAAATGTTTGGTGGTTAGTATATTTATCTTATTGCCATTTTTGTTATTTTCCTTTTACAGATCAGGACTGACAGAAGCCTACCAATGGTAAGAATGTGGCTCCTGATGAGTCTTATTCTAGCTGTGGTCTGAGTGTAACATAGTTTTTACTTGTATTCCTTAGGCACTATGGAACAATGAACAGCTTCTGAGATTACTTACTTTGAGTCCTTGAAAAATAGTAATAATAATGGCTGCCATTTATTTCTTACTTATTGTGTGCCAGATAACGTGTTAAAAGTTTCACGTATGTTATCTCATGTAATCGTCATAACGCCCTGTGAGTTAGGTGCTGTTCTTATCTCCTTTTTATTCCACTTCTAGACCTGAGGCCTAGAGTTGTTAACTGACTTAGCAAAGAGCAGACAGTGAGAAGCAGAGAGCTGGGACCTTGTGCCTAACCATTGTACTTCACTTTCTCTGCGTGTGAAATTAGGGGCTTGAGCTGAGTGATCCCTAAGGTCTCCACCAGCTGTAGAAATCTAAGCTTCTTAGGGAAGATCACCTGTCTGCATTCATACGTTTAGTTCAAAGGTGTTCTGGTTTTCTTTCTGCAGACGCTTCCTGCCAGTTATTTCCAATATATCCAAATCATTTATTTATATTTCTGTAACAGCACTCCTTCGGGATCTTGGTGTAATAATATCAACACTATTAGTAATTCTTTTGCTGTCCTTAGGAGAAGGAAGGGTCAAATTACACACTTGCCTTTTGGTAATGAAGGAGCTAGATTTCAGAGTTGCAAAAAGCCTAAAATTGGGTTCAGGTAATGGCCCTTGAATGCCTTATTACTTACCAATAATGACCTTAGGTATACTTAATCTCTCTAAGTCTTAGTTTTCTTGGCTGTAAATTGGAATGATAATATCTGCTTCATGGGATTATTGTGAGGATGAAACGGAACAGTATAGATTAAGGATCTCCATAGAGCCGAAGCTCAGTAAATGCTAGTTTTTTTCCCCTTTTCTTTCCTTTGTTCTGAGTCTTACTATTAGGTAGCTGAGCCTGATTGAGCAAACTTATGCATTCTACCTCAGTTTCTTCCTGTTTACAAGATAATATTCATAGTGTGTAAAAACTAGCCAAAGACATTTTAATTTTTGATTAAATAAGGTTAGGCCATTTCTGGTATTTATTAATTATTTCAATACTACTCTTTTCCCAACTGAAGTTTTCAAACTCTGAAGATCTCTGAATGTAAATATTTATCATTTGAACCTTCTTCCTTTGTTACGGTAACCATAGTGTTTTAAAAGTAGAAGGGATTTTAGAAATCCTCGAGTCTGTGACCTCTGCTTGTTTCCACTGCACTGTGAGTAGCCACCCCAGGTGTCTAAGAATTTGCTCACTTCCTATTTCTACATGCCATATGCAAATAAACTCTGTAGCTAGTTCCACAAATTTTGTACCATCTCTTCTATAATTTGGCTGCCCTAGAATCAATTGAACAACAATCCAACAAAAACATATTCATTAGAAAACTTGTTTCTTAGAAGTGGATTTTTCTATCAAAGCAAAGGCAAGGAAAATGCTGCAGCCTGAATTCCTCTGCTGAATGCAGTTTCCAGACATTTATGCCAGGGTTTTGACATCCACGTATGAGAACTTTAGAGCCAGCTAGAAGCTGTTGCTGGACTTCTTGCAGCCAGCTCAGATTCTTCAGGTGTTTGTGGCAGGTGATTTGATATGCCCTTCATCTCATTTTCTCACTCAGTCAAAGTATATCCTGCCCCCATGCCTTGTAAACTTAAGGTTAATTCAGCTACCAGACATGTCAATTACTCAAGACGGTGCTCCTTCCATTACTCCTCGTAGTCCTTACTAGTCCGAAGTTTTATCCTAGGTACTCCTGCTTATTGATCGCTCACTTGGTTGTAACTCGCCTAGTTGCAGTTCACCTTCTAGTTTAGAAAGATAAGTACTTAATCCTAACTGCCTAAAATACCTATGTATGCAGCCATTATTATTAATAGTGGGGAGATAGGTGATAGTCTTTTATCCTTGAGGAGCCAAATGACTAGCAGCTGTAGCACTTGTTTTATTCTGGAACTGATTTTACAAATCATTCAAGAAGCTATAAAGTTTTTTTTAACCAATATTATATAACTCAAGAATTCCCCCACCAAGTGACATCATAAAAATATTTATAAAGTCTTCCTCCTTCTCTTCCTTTCCTGAAGTAACTTTATCCCAGTCTGGTATATTGGAATCTGGGTTTGGATCATGGCTGTACCATTGTCTAGCCATGTGATCTTAAGTGGGAATAGAATGTGTGAATGGGCTTCAGAGACTGTCTAGCCTTCCAGAAAAATGACTCTGGATATCTTCCATGAGGCTCGAAGCAGAGAACTAGAAATTTCTCCTCACACCAGCCCTCAAGAGTATATTGTTGTGCCTTCAAATAGTAAATCTTCATATAGTAAGCATCTACTCCAGAGCAGACACTGGAGAAAAAGGGTTGAAGAGGACGCAGTTCCTGCCCTTGATGTATCTCACAGTCCCCCTTATAGTAGGGGATATCTTTTTATAATATATCAGGCAAAACTCTTCACTCTCTGTGTATTAAACAATATGATTTGGGTAAGAAAAAAAAGAGCATTATCATTAGCATACTAACAAATAGAAGAGGAATGTTTTTTCAAGAAAATTAGTAAAACTATTAGAAAATTTTCTATAGCCTCATGAGGCAAGTTTTCTGTATATAAGTACATAAATAACTTAAAAGAGAAAGGGTCAAATGACCGGGGCCCAAGAGTGCCTGACAGGATTTGCTGCTCTTTGTCTGGGTGACCTTGAACAGATCACTTTAACCTCTCTGTCCTTCATCCGTCTGTGGGGGTAAAAGACTGGTCTACCACAATGATGTGGACGATAACAAATGATTGCAAAATACTTTTGAAATATAAAAATCTATCATAACAATCTATCATAACGTCTGATCCCATACAGCACTTATAGATGACGGTTCTCTGTTTTTCACAATCAGGTATCTGGACCTCCGTCGATTTGGATCTGTGCCACATGGAGGTTTTGGGATGGGATTTGAACGCTATCTGCAGTGCATCTTGGGAATTGACAATATCAAAGATGTTATCCCTTTTCCAAGATTTACTCATTCATGTCTTTTATAGCTGGAAGACTGGTTGAGGAAGATCACTCCATGCCGGAGGTGTTGCACATGAGTGTCCACACAGGAGAGTGAATGTTTGAATTTTAGAAATGCAGAAGTTTTCACATGTAATTGTCATGCTGTAAGATATAATATATGAAAAATAGAAATGATCATGATTTTCTTAGAAAGTTGAGAGCAGGGGCCAGCCCCATGGCTGAGCGGTAAGTTTGTACGCTCCGCTTCGGCAGCTCAGGGTTTCTCTGGTTCAGATCCTGGGCACGGACGTGGCGCTGCTCATCAGGCCATGCTGAGGCAGCATCCCACACAGCACAACCAGAAGGACCTACAACTAGAGTATACAACTATGTACTGGGGGCTTTGGGGAGAGGAAGAAGAAAAAAAACAAAGTTGAAAGCATTTCATGGAAAGATGAACTCCTTCAAGAAGAAGTACTTACAGCAGGTAGAATCTCAACTCTATTATGTCAGTTAAGAAGAAATGAAGCAGTTGAACTAGATGGTCCCAAAGTTCCTTTCAAACTTGAAGACAGTGAGAGACAATGTATTTTACTTTGTCTTTAATTATTGGATCCTGCCCTGTGTGACCTTGAGAAACAACTAGTAGCTAAAAATAAAATGTTGTTGGATATTTTCTCCCCTGCATTTAACCTGTGATAAATGCCCATCTTATTCTCAGTGTTTTACTAAACATTACAGAAGAAAATATTCCTTTTTTGGGGCCTTAACTGAGTTAATAAAGTTGCTATTCTGAATTGAAATCTTCTTTCATCAGACTGGATGAAAAAAATCACATTTAATAACTGTTGATCCTTAATTATAAAAGGTAACAAGTGTATTAATTATTTAAACTAATCAATGTTGTGTTATAATTCATATTAGATGTTTATAACTTCTATAATAATAAATAAAACAGATTTTTGATACAAAAATCAAAGAAAAAGACAGTCATATTTTTAAATTCCATTTTTCCATTTCCCAGTAAAATTTGGAAGGAAGATATTTTCTATCCAAGATGAGGATGCATAAATATAGCTAAACCTAAAGGGTGGGTAATTCTGGAGTCAAAAAGTAACAGTGTCTGGTAGAGTTGAGAAGACTGGGAGTTTGAGACCTGACAACTCTAGCACTTTACATGTATGATTTTGGACAAGCCACTTACTCTGTGTGCTCTCGTACATCATTTTCCTCAGAGGTGATACAATAATTACATGAAAGTGTATGTTTGGGTACGTGTTTAACACTGTGAAATGCTACACAAACTTTTTTTTAACTCTGCTGTTAGTGTCATTGAATTACATATTATGTGGACTTATAGCAAATTGTATACTCAGTAGAATTTGTATGTATCAAATACCCGTAAAAAGGCATGCATGCCTGAATAATCCATTTCTAAGTCTTACTAGATGACTTATCTTAGGTTATTTCCTGATGGGTTTCTGTATGCACTTTATTTTAACCTAATACAAAATCAAACAGCTGGAAAGAACTGTAAAACCTTGGAGTTGGAAGTCCTGGAAGTCACTGAGAGGTTGTCAAGTTCGAACTTCTGCCTGACACAGAGAGATCCTATATACCTGGGCAGACTCTTCTTGGCAAAAAGCTCAGGCTCCCACAAATTAGCTCATTCCATGTCTGAATCTCTCTAATTGGTAGCTTTTGCTGAGCTAAAGTCTACTTCCCTGGAACTTTAATCCCTTGGGCTTAGATACCGAGTTTAGGACAGGATAAAAGGGATAATTAGGGCTTCCACAAGACTTGCTTCAACCATGGGTTAGAGAGAGAATTTCAGTTGTTTATTCAACAAATACTATTTAAGCTTATTCTGTATGCCAAGAACTGTGCTAGGTGCCAGATAAACAGTAGTGAATGAAACAGAAATGACCTCTGCCTTCATGGAATTTACCATCTATTAGAGAAGATACATAATCAATAAGTAAACAAATGTATTATTTCAAATATGACCTGTGCTATAAAATTTTGTAAAAAGCAGGGCATTTATGGTAAGCTTGCTAGAGAAGTCATCTCTGAAAAGGTGATATTTAACCTTAGACCTGGAAGGTAAAATGCAAAACCATTTTAAAATATTTGCAACCTCAGTCAATATTGATTTGGCATTCAAGTCGTGATACTGTATTAATAGAGCAGGAATCACAGACGTTCACAGGCCCCAAACCTGGAGGCACTGATAGTTTCCAAGGCTATCAGGAATCATGCCTGCAGTGATTTTTGAGGAAACAGATAGAATTGTAATGTTAATATGGTGATGGGGCATCAAAAATAACAGTGATAGAAAGAACATTGAATTAGAGAAGCCCCAGGTTCTGCTCTCAGTGCCACCAGTAACCTGTCTGTGGAGCATTAGGCAAATCGGATCATCTTTGTGGCCTCCAGTTATTTCATCTGCAGAACTATCATTCTGAAGTAGATGAACTCAAAGGATCCTTCTCTCTTAATCTATGAATCTGTGCTGGACATAGTCACTAATAATAATTGGTTTAGAGTCTAACCTTTAGACTTTATTTTAATACATACTAGGTCTCCAAAACTGTATAGTGACGTCAGATCACTGGAAGTTTAACAATAGACTCAAGTGTGTTCATTGTGTGTATATGTGAGGTGGGAGAAGGTCCTTCTCAAGGAGTCAAACATACATTGTTCCTTACCTTTTTGGCAGTCTTCTCAGCAATATACTTCCAAACCTTCATACTTATTTGTTCATTTTCTTCCTTCACAATTGATCACACAATCAGTATCTGGTGGAAGCCAAAGACTTCCCACTTATAACAAGCCTAATAATTCCTATCTTTGGCTCAATACACCTGTTTTACCAATAATTGAACAAAAGCAAACACTAGCATCAGACAAACATGATGAAAATGCCAAAACTAGACTGTTGCTTGTAGGCAGCATAGTATAATTTTATGTATAATGAATAAAAGTATGGATTTAATAGTTGAGGACAGTCTATACTTATAATAATATTCTTATAAGGCTTAATTTGTGAGTTAAAAGGTGATTTGAGGGTATTGCTTTTTACTTGAGTAACCCAGTTTCCAATGAGGGAAAAATCAGATTCTGTTTTCCCAAGATTTCCAAACATCACCTCAAAATAGTAACCCCAGCCACCCAAGTAAGAGCGTATTCTAAAACTTAGAAATGTTTTTTCCGTCATTAATTCCCATTCTCATTTCAAATTTTGAAGTAGGTGGAGAAAAATAGTTACTTTCCATCTGGCTGTCCTCTTGCCTGGGGAAGTTGTACTGCCATTTTTTTTTCTTTTTTTTTACTCTGACAAGAGCTTAATTGTGTGAGTGATCCATTCCAGATCTAGACATAACTCTCCCACCCTCTGACCCAGCCCAGAGACTCTTTAACTGTCACAGAACAGCAAAGGAACTGTTTGACCTTTTGTCCCTCTCAGACAGGATCTGCCAGAAGCATCTTTCTACAATGTTATACATTCATATTCTCTATAAATTGAATCTAGACATTCAAGCATGACTGAACAGGCACTGAGGATGCAATTGGTGAGATGGATTAACTCTATCCTTCTTTAAATCTCTTGCTTCAGATAATTATAGATGAAAGATACTTATTTGGATTGGATTGCTATTTGTTCATATATTTATTTTAGTAAGTGGTGAGGTAAGAACATAAAAACGCAGAGTTGAAAGACAGATTGGCCTGGATTAAATTGATAAGAAATGTGTGGGGCTTTTTGGCTTCTGATCAATATTTGTACTCAGTCTGCAATCTAAAGTATGTATAATAAAAAGAAAACAGGTGGGAGTAATATCTGACTGTAGTTTCTTCCCAGTTGGTATTCCAAATTAAAAGATAGAAAAAGCATTAAGAAAAGAGCGGAAGGCAACCTTAATCACCTTACACCAAAATGACTCAGTAGTACCTCCATAAGACAGATCTTATTAGATCATGGTCAACACTCCACCAGAAACCTAGACTTTCCACCATTGCCAGGACCCCTAGATTGCCCCTCTGATGAGCCAAGGCTCCAGTTAGCTCTTGTGAAGTTTGGTTTCAAGTCCAGTGAATTTACAGCCATTATTGGCACACTGTGTAGTAGTTGCTGGGGGACCTTTGTAAAGAAATCAGTTTAAATGTTTCTTAAACTGTCAGTCAGGCAGCTAATCATTGAATTAACATGGCTCATGACTCTTCAATAACTTTCTGCTACGTCTATACTGTTCATAATTGTTATTAATAATGTCATCATTTGGACATTGCTTTACAATTTACAAAATTTTTTAAAGTACCCACTATATATTGTGGACTCTGTTCCTTTGTAGCCTACGGTGCTTCAAATTCATTTGTTTTAATGAAAGATTCATTTATTTGTTATGAAGGTTGGTTATTAGGAATTCCTAATATTGAAGGAGAGTAAGACTGCAAATCAAGTTCACTGCTCTCAGCCTCCAGAGAAGCTGAAAGCACAGAATTTTTTGTAGTCATCAATGAATCTTGTATCTTAAGCCCCAGAATTTACTGGACGTGTTGCAAAACAAACACTTTGGCATCTGATTTCCTTGTTCTGCACAGGGAGAAGAGACTTAAGAATGTGAAAGAAAATGATGATTGAGCTCAAATACATTCTAGTGAAGAGAATCATTGAAAATGGAGCAAAGAGTCCTGGACCCAGCAGTGTACTTAAGCTCATTATGCCTCAATATTTTTTTATGAATTTATACTCATATTTGCCCTACCTTCCTTTTTGGATCATCCTAGAATATACATAGAAAGATAAATATAAGAACTTGGATTAGAATTATTAATATCTTCCCCAAAGTGATCTACCTTTGATGTTTCAAGATGACACTCTGAAAATAGAAATTAGTGGGCCCATCTAGCAGAGGTTTTTTTGTACTAGAAATAAACGTGCACAGCTAACTATTATGCAGAGCCTGGCTTCTAGCAGGTGCAGAACCTTCTCTGCACACTGGCTTAACAAGAACTGGATCCTAGCTTGGAAACATCTCTTAGAGATCATGCCCATCCCCCTGTCTATAAGGTATAAACTACCTTTCTCTGTATTTTCCCCAGTTCCTGGTAATTTACCCAATGCCCCTTCAGTGAATAGGAACTTTCTACCTTAAGAGAGAACTTCTTCTGTCTTTGGAGAACTCTGATTGTGACCCCGATAGTAACAAAACCTGCCTCTCTCTAGCATGCAAATGTGATAAATTAGAAACACAGCAGCACATTTCCTTCTCCCCAGCCTTTTCTTCTCCAGAATGAATCTCTATAGCTGCTCAGCTGGACAGTCTGTCCTTCCCTGAAGGGCTGCACCCCACCATGTTATTCGTCAGCAGTGTATCTTTAAAGTGGGCCTTTCTCTTGGTAGAGGAATGCTTCCCTCCGCTCAGCTGCTACCCAAGTACCCTGTGATACCAGTCGTGATATTAGGAGAGCTTTAAGTTAGAAATTAAGTTTAAAATAAATTAAATTAGAGGAGCTCCAAAGCCTCCTTCCTATCTGTCTTACAGCCTGTAGTAGTTGCTCCCCTTCCTGTACATAGAATAGTGCTGAAGAATCTAAATTCGTTTCAGAATGTTTGGGGCAATCCCAACCCCCTCATTTGAGGGTTGCAGAAGTGGACCTGGGTCATAGACAGTTTTGTTGTTGAAGAACAGTAAGTTCTTTCACTGAAGATTTCCACAATATAACATTTTCTTTGCAGTGCCCCCAAAGGCAGGAACTGATTCCTGTCCAGTTAGGAAATGGCTGGCCAATGATCTCTTTA